GAGTGTTCCATCTCATTTCCCTTTGGGGTTGCTGTAGGTGATCTGGAAGTCTGGTTTTGAGACTTATTTACGTGTTTTCTCATTTTGACTCGGGGCGGGGGTGGGATGTGCTGTTGGCGCCTGCACGGATTACCTCTTAGCTGGGAGAGGTGGGACAGGGGCCGGGAGCTGCCAGAGGGATGGTGGCCCGGAAACCCCTTCTTCTGGACCAGGAGCAGTGGGAGGGTGGCTCAGAAGCCCCTACCTCTGGGCCAGGAGCGGCGGGACTCAGTACGGTGGTCTGGTGGTCCATTGTCCTCTGCGTCTTTGTAGTGTGTAACTGTAACCAGGTGGCTGTACAGAGGAGGGGGTGGTGGCGGTGTCCAGTGGATTGTTGCCACACAACTCACGACCTTGGTAGGGCGTGTGCAGACCTGCCTGTCTGCAGCGGGCTGAAAATGTATTTTAATTACCTAATAACTAAGCCACAGAGACTATGGAAAATGAAGGGTGCCCCTTCAACACTGTGAAAGCCATGACACCTGTGTATATTACTGATTTACCCTTCTAGATAAGATTTTGTTTTAACAAAATGTTCTGTGTTAAATAAAGAAAAAAGCTGATAAAATTCTGCTTTAGCCTGTGTGTTCTTAAAGAAGACCTTAGGGCAAGGCTTACTTTAGAATATTTAGGTATGGGGCTGGGGATTTAGCTCAGTGGTTCCAGCGCCTGCTGCACAAGCACAAGGTCCTGAGTTCGATCCCCGGTACCAAAAACAAAACACACAAAAGAATATTTAGGTATGAAAATTGACATTATTTCCTTGTCCAAACAACATTATGATGGAATTTTAAAACCAAAAAAGACCCAGTGGACTACTTATCAAGCAACCTGGGTTCCTTTCTTTATTCTGCCAGTATAAGTTCTTAACTGACTAAAGTTCTGTTTTTTCATCTCTAAACTAAAGAATTGAAATTGGTAAAAATTTTAGAAGCTAAGCATAGTCGCGTAAGCCTATTATGCCAGCCATTTAGGAGGCTGAGGTAAGAGGAATGCAAATTCGAGCCCACTTGGACAACTTAGCAAGATCCTGCCTCACAATTCAAAAACTGAAAATGACTGGACATACAACTCATTGAGAAAGCCTTGAATGAATGAATGAATGAATAGCTAAAAATGTGTAGAGATGTAGCTCAGCACTTCTTGGATTCAGTCTTCAGTAGGGCAAAGACTTTTAAAACTTTTAAGTGAGATAATAGACTAGTATCAAGGAATAAATTCATAGTAATACTCAAGTTAACTAAAAGGGTAATTGATAAAGCTAGTTGTACAAATAGGATGAGTGCTGCTTTTGGTTAATATTTCAAGGGGAGGGATAGAAAAGAGACATAAGCCCTAATGAACATCTACTCTGTGATAGATACTGACTTATCCATTTTCCTATTAAGCAACTTGTATGGAAAGAATTAAAATTTCCATTTAACAGATTAATTAACTGAGGTTCAAAGTAATTTAATTAACTTACTCAGAACCATACAACTAATTAGTGGCAGAATGAGAATTTAAGCCCAAGAATATCCAACTCCAAAGCTTCTGCATTATTTTCAGATAGGAAAGAAAATTGAAAACAGTGTCAAGTTCTGCAGGTCCCATTAGGAGAATCCCTTCTTTAGAGAAATGATGGCTATTTAAATATAATTTTGCATGATATTGATGTCATTACTGAACTGATGTTTCCAATTGACTTTTAGATCCCAATTGTGGAGTCAGAAATAAAGAAAGAAGCTGGTGATTTAAAACCTGAAGAGGAAATAACTGTGGGGCCGGTTCAGAAATTGGTTACTGAAATGGGTACCTATGCAACTCAGAGTGCCCTCAGCAGTTCTAGACCCACCAAGAAGGAGGAAGACAGGTAATTTATGGCCCCTCTGCCCTGCCAAGCTGAATTACTTTTATTATAACTCTTGTGTAAAAAGTAGTCACTTTTCTTTTCTCTTAGTAGTTTGCTTTTTCTCTCTTTTTGGCGGGGGGGGGTGTGTGTGTGTGTGTGTGTGTGGCTGTACTGGGGATCAAACTCAGGACCTTGCACATGCAAGCAAGCAGCAGTTTCACTGAGCTAAATCCCCAGCCCTAGTAGTTTGTTTTTTGACCGAAATGAAAGTCTTCATTACTTAAGGTACTTGAAAGGAGGAAGATGCTTAAGTTTTCCACCCAGGAATTGTGTCAGTGGTACAATCCTCTGTTCCTTCCATCTCTTTTCATTGAAGTAGCTGCGTTCTGCTTAAACTAAAATTATTTTGCTCACATAGAAAATTCTACAATGGTATTTGAGTTTGGTTGCCTTTTAGCATCTAAAAAGATACCTTGTAGGTTTTTCCATTTCTCTCTTCTTTTTTCTTTTGTAATGCTGTAGATCAAGTCCAGGACCTTAGTTGCATTAGAGGAAAGCATTTTACTACTCAGCTACATAAGGCTTTCCCATTCTAGTTGATACAATAACATGTAATGGATGATTTCTCCTTTTTTAACTATTCGTTTTTGTGGTGGAGATGATGAAAACAATGCCTGAAATTTTATTGAATACTTAGTTTATGCTTCACATTGTGCTAAGTAGTTTGATATCCTTGACAACCATCCTTTGGGATAGAATATATTATCTCCATTTTACAGTAGAGGAATTTGAGACTTATGGAAGTTTGAAAACTACCCAATAAATAAATAGGTAAGCTGGAATTTGAAAATAATTCATTGGCTCCAGTGCATACACTCTTAATTAAACATATTTTCTTTCCATTCGTCTCTTGAGTCATTTGAAGATAAATGTTAAAGTTATATATTTTTTGTTTTGAGAGCTAATGAAGGAATCAACCAGGGTCCTTATCACTGAAGGGTATCAGTGAGGGTGGTTTTTTTGAATCATTTATACAAAAGCTATCTGATGCTTAAGAAGTTAATGAGTTTCATTTTCTTTTCTTTTTTTTTTAATCTGGGATTGAACTCAGAACCTTATACTTGCCAGGCAGGCACAGCGCCACTGAGCTAAATCCCCAGCCCAGTTTCATTTTTCTTTTATTTTTCGTAGACCTCCCCTGAGAGGATTTCTTCTGGATGGAGATTTTTTTGTTGCTGCTTCTCTTGCCACAACTCTGACCAAGATTGCATTGCGCTATGTAGCTTTGGTTCAGGAGAAGAAAAAGCAAAATGTAAGTTCACTTATTCTGCATTTACCCAACAACTGAGTATTGAGTGCCTACTGAATGTATTGAACAGTGAGAAACCCAAAAGTCTTCATGCTAAAGTTTCTGTTGTGTAAGAGCTTATGGTTTAATAGGGGAAAATGGACACAGTAATACAATATGACTATAAAATTGACAAAGTAATACAGTAATAATACCATGTGATTAGTCCAGTGGAGGAGATAGAAGTATTTATGAAATTATTTCTGTTTGCTAGGATTAGTGAAGGACCAAAGAAGGAAATGCTTTTCTCCAGCATCTTCATCTGGTCATTCCTTGTCTGCTTTATCTCAAAAAATATCTTTCAGGGGCCGGGGATTTAGCTCAGTGGTTCTGCTGCCTGCCTCGCAAGTGCGAGGTCCTGAGTTTGATCCCCAGTACCTAAAAAAAAAAATATATCTTTTAAATGATCTTTATTCATGGTTCATACCTTCTGACCATTCTTACTATATACTTATTTATTTATTTATTTATTTTTGGTACCGGGGATCGAACTCAGGCCCTTGCACTTGCGCAGCAGGTGGCAAAACCACTGAGCTAAATCCCCAGCCCCTATATACTCATTTATAATAGTATACTTTCATTCTCCCAATTTCCTCATCATTTGCACTATTATCCTACATTTCACACCCCTAAATCATGTTTTAAACCCAAGGACACATTGTTATTTTTGTTTTAGTCAATTCTCTTTTTTTCTTTTAATAATTTTTTTCCTCTTTTCTTTCTTTCCTTTTTTTGATGTCTGTACTGAGACCAGGAAGAGTTGTGCTTAGCTTAGCCAGATGTTGAGAGTTGATAGCAGGGCAAACTTCAGATACCTTTCTGGGTGCTTCTTTTTTCTTTCTTTTATTAAAAAAAATTTTTTGTTATTCTGGTGAAATGGACATAACATAAAATTTACTGTTTTAGCCATTTTTAAGTATGCAGTTAAGGGGCAACAGTTTAGTGCCATTAGGTAAATTCACATTACTATGCAACTATTAACCACCATTCCTCTCTAGTGCTTTTTCATTATCTGAAAGTAAAATTTTGTATCCAAAACTCCCCATTCCTTCCTACCTGCAGCCCCAATAATCTGTTATACTCTTTATTTATATAAATTTGCCTGTTCTAGGTATTTCATATAAGTGGAATCATGCAGTATTTGTTTTTTGTGTCTAATTTGCTTCATTTAACCTAACATCTTAAAAATTCATCCATATTGTAGTATATATCAGAATTTCCTTACTTTTTAAGGCTGAATGTGTATGGCTCACATTTTCTTTATCTATTTGTCTGCTAGAGTCAATTATCTTTGAAAGATACTGTAAATGAGAAAAAAATCTTATGTTTCCCTACATATTTACCATTTATGGTGCTCTTATTCCTTTGTCTAAATTCAGAATTCTATCTGATAGGTTTTTTTTCTCCTACCTAAACCACCCAGGGCCTTACACTGAGATACATCCCCAGCCCTTTTTTAAAAAAAAATAATTAATTACTTAGAGACAAGGTCTTGCTGAGTTACCCAGGCAAGGCTCAAACTTGGAATCCTCCTGCCTCAGCTTCTCAGAGTGCTATAGGCACGTGCTATCACACCCAGCTTGATCATTTCTTGCATGCTAGTCAGCTGGTGAGGAATTTTCTCAGCTTTCATTTGCCTAAAACATTACATTGCTTTTCATTTAAAAAAAAAATCTCTCCATAGTAGAATTATGAAATTTTATTTGATTTTTTTGTTAATTTATTGCTAAAATAAGCAAGGGATGATATAATCAAAATTATGAGAGGCTTGGTGATGTAGCTCAGTGGGACAGTACCTGCTTAGGATGTTCAAGGCCCTGGGTTTAATCCCTAGCACCACACACACACACAGAAACCAAATATGATTATAGCACTCAAATACAAATTTCTGCTGGGTGTGGTGGCACATGCCTGTAGTCCCAGCTACTCGGGAGGCTGAGGTGGGAGGATTGCTTGAGTCCAGGAGTTCTGGGCTGCACTGCGCTATGCCGATCGGGTGTCCGCACTAAGTTCGGCATCAATATGGTGACCTCCTGGGAGCGGGGGACCACCAGGTTGCCTTCGGAGGGGTGAACTGGCCCAGGTTGGAAATGAAGCAGGCCAAAACTCCCGTGCTGATCAAATACAAATTTCTTCAGTATTACAATAGAAACATCAAAAGGTAAAATATAACAGAAATTCTTCCTTTCTCTAGAAAGCATAAAAGTTGGCTGTGTCTGTGTAACACTTTTCTTCCCTAGTAGTGATCATTTTGTGTTTTCCAATTATTATAGTTTTACTTAGTATTATAACAAACATTTTCCATGTTTTTATAAACCCTTCCTAGTCATAGTTATAATATTTAATAGTTGCATAATTGTCCATCGAGTATGTAGTTTCTTCATTTATCTTCCATATAACAGGACATTTTCATTTTAAATTTTGGGTTTTCAAAGAGGTTTTTGTTTTTTTCCATCATAAAGCCATAGATGAAATTTAGAAGGCCAGGTAACTTACAAGATCTATTAATTTTGATTTATGAGCAATAATTTACTTTGTAACTGTGGATCGTTATTGTCTAGGTATAGTCACAGTATCTTTTTTATACTTTTTAAATCTCCAACATTTTCTGTCTCAGAGTCCAATTTAATTTTCTCTCATGAATGACTGCTTCCCTTTTGAAAGTTGGCAGTGATCATTGATAATCTGTTTAAAGGAGCCAGATTTCTCATAACATACCTAGTTAATAAAGTTTGCTGAATTTGATGCAAAGAAGGAAGTTTGTTTATCGACTCATTGGACTCCTCCATTTACTTCTAGCACTCTTCATTTCTTTGTGTAGATCTGAATGTCTTGTATCATAGTCCTTTTGCCTAAAGAATTTACATTAACTTTGCTTGTAGTGTAGGTCTCTTGGCAAGGAATTCACTTGATTTTTGTCTGGAAAAAAGTCTATTTCTCTGACATTTTTAAAAGATAACTTTTTGCGTATAGAATTCTAAAAGACAGTTTTTCCTTCCAGTAATATAAAAATGTAGCTCCTTTGTCTTTTCCCTTCCTGTTAAGAAGTTTCTGTCATTCTTATGCCTTTGTGGAATGTGTTTTTTCTTCTGTGACTGGTTTTAGATTTTCTCATCAGTGAGTTTTAGCGCTTTGATTAGTGCTTGTTGTGGTTTTGTTCATGTTTCCTTTGCTTGTGTTTCATTGAGCTTCTTGGGTCTCTGGGTTTGTAGTTTCTATCAGTTTGGTAAATTTTTGGTCATGATTTCTTCAGGTATTTTTTTCTGTTACACCTTCTCTTTCTTCTTTTTCTGGAGTCAGTACCCACTTGAGGGGGATGATTATACTTACTGTTCTGCTGGTTCTTCCCCAGGCTTCCATTGGTATTTATGTGTGTGTGTAGATCGGTACTAAACCAAATGCAAGGTTTCTTTTTAGCAAAGGCAAAGAGTAACTGTCACGATGCAACATGAAACAACCAAAAACATAAGCTAGAATTTACTTGTGGAAGATTCTGACTAGCAGGCCAAGGATGTGAACTTCAGTATGAAGGCAGACAGAAATTAAAATAAGGTGTTTGTATGGAGGGTGAAAGGATGGGTGCAATATAAAAACTAAGATAGCAGCAGCAGGTGATCACACATGGCATTACCAATCATGGAACAGCCTAATACTATAATACCATTGGGGTGTAAAACATCGTTTATCTAATGTTATAGCCAGAAGTGTGTGTTCCATTTATTAAAAAGAAAGTGTGTGTGTTCTTTTAAAAAAAGAATCGATCCCCGGTACAAAAAAAAAAAAAAAAAAGAATCAATGTGATTAAAAAGAAATGGGCAGAAAACTGGTCTCAAATAAAAGGGACTAAAGAAAAATAGCCAGATAAAATGCATGAAGCTGATCCTGGAGTTAAAAAATAAAACACAAAAATTTTGAGATGATTTATTGAAATTCAGAGTATAGTTGATAATTTGACACATACAGTTCTCAGGTGAGAAAGTGATTTTGTGGTTCTTATAGAAAGCTGTCCTGATTCGTAGGAGATGAACACTGACATATTTATGGGATGAATCTTTCTTTCATTTAGTTAACAAAGTAAGTGTATATATGTATATGGGAAAATAAGAAAGCAGATATGGCAAAATGGCAACAATTGGTGAAATGGATCATTTGTTTAACTTTTCTGTAGTTGAGGTTAAAAGAGAAATCATTAAAGATCCATTGCTCTTTCAGTTGAGGGTTGATAGAAGTCTTAGGAAATGGCAGAATAAAAAAAGGAAGGGGCCAGGGTTTTAGCTCAGTGGTGCCACCACCTGCCTAACAAGTGCAAGGTCCTGAGTTCGATCCCTGGTGCCAAAAAAAGGAAGAACATGCCAAAAAGGTGTTATGGAGATACAATCTAAAGGATTTGAAGTTTTACTCAGGTGAAATGAAAAGTTTGGTTCATTTCTTCAATTTTAAGTTTTCATATAGACATTGTTGCAATTGGGGAATCATGACACAATTTCTCTACTTTTATAGTCTTTTGTTGCTGAGGCTATGTTGCTCATGGCAACTGTCCTTCATTTGGGAAAATCTTCTCTTCCTAAGAAGCCAATTACAGATGATGATGTAGACCGAATTTCCCTGTGCCTCAAGGTCTTGTCCGAATGTTCGCCTTTAATGAATGACATTTTCAATAAGGAATGCAGACAGTCTCTTTCTCAAATGTTATCTGCCAAACTTGAAGAAGAGAAACTATCCCAAAAGGTAAATTATACAGAAGGCCATAAAAGCACTTTTTTTCTTTGTTGATTGTTCAGTTCCCATATGTGAAGCTGTCCCAATTAAAGACCTATGTAAAGAAATGTGTGTGTTGTTTTTCTCAACATAGAAAGAATCTGAAAAGAGGAATGTGACAGTACAGCCTGATGACCCCATTTCCTTCATGCAACTAACTGCTAAGAATGAAATGAACTGCAAGGAAGATCAGTTTCAGCTGAGTTTGTTGGCAGCAATGGGTAACACTCAGAGGAAAGAGGCAGCAGATCCCCTAGCGTCTAAACTTAACAAGGTAACAAAATAGCAAATATACTATAAATTATTTAAATTGGCTACTTGAAAAAGTAGTATCAGGAAGTTTCTTGTCCTACTGTTTTTTAAAAGAAATACAGTCTTTTTGTGTGTTTATTGGCTGTTTGTATATCCTCCATGGAGAAATATCTGTTCAAATCCTTTGCCCATTTTTTAATTGGATTTTTTTGTTTGAATTATAGGAATCTTCATGTATTCTGGATATTAACCCCTCATTAGATTTGAAGTTTTCTTTCTTCTTCTATTCTATAGTTTTCTTCTGTTCTGTGATTTGTCTTTTCACTCTGTTCTTAGTGTCCTTTGATGCACAAAAGTTTCTATTTTCTTGCCTGTACTTTTGGTGACAATATTATATTGTTAAATGCTATACTTAAGGTATTTTTTAATTGGAGGGGTTATTTTTATCTTTATGGGATTACAAATATTTCTCACCATATGATGTGTTTGCTTCCTGAGCTTGAATAGCAGTGAATACCACATTTTCTCTATGTTCCTGAGTTTCAGAGAGCAGATTGTAAGCTTAGATATTTACTGAGGATTTAACTGAAAATGTATCCAAATCTATTCATTTGCTAAGTTGGGAGAGTGTTTAATGAATTTGTTTAACATATTTCTACTGGTGAACTACTAAGCTTAAAAATCAACATATATAACATACCTTATATTGAGTTACTGAATTTAAAAAGCAGGTGGGCTGGGGTGTAACTCAGTGGTAGAATGCATGCTTAGTATGTGCAAAGCCCTGAGTTCCATCCCTGTTACCAAAACAAAACAAAAATCAGAAGATGCGTGAGTATCATTTTTTAAATTAAAATTTCAAATGCTGTGTTGCCTGGATAACTTTTTTCAAGCTGTACAACCAGTTTTTATAATTGTCCCAGTTTTAATTTCCATTTCTGCATTACAATTTTGTTATACCTATCCCAAAATGACTTTTCATATCTAAGTACATCTCTTAATTGCCAGACTTAATCATTGATTAGGATATGGTTAGTTAAATTGTGTCATTCATTTGATTATGTCTTCATGTGTTGGGGGCAAGGAGTACTAGGGAATGAACCCAGGGCCTTTGCACTGAGCTACATCCCCAGCCTTTTCTTCTTTATTTTGAGACAGTCTCACTGTGTTGCCTAGGCTAGGCTCACACTTGTAGTCTTCCTGCCTCTTCCTTTCAGAGTACTGGGATTACAAGCATGTACCACCAAACCCAGCTCATTTGATTCTGTTTTATTTTTGTTTTGACAGGTCACCCAGTTGACCGGTTTCTCAGATCCTGTGTATGCAGAAGCTTACGTTCATGTCAACCAATATGATATTGTCCTGGACGTACTTGTTGTGAACCAAACCAGTGATACTTTGCAGAACTGCACATTGGAGTTAGCTACTCTAGGTGAGAATATTTGTCATAAAGGAAAGATTTTTATACATTATATCTTTATGGCATATTATCAAGAGAAGTCCACAGACTTCAGTATAAGTAGTCCTTTGAGCCCTTTGTAATTTTTTTTTTTTTAGTTTTATGTTTAAAATTTAGACTTCTATTCCAGTTCTCTGAACCTTTGTCATACTGACCTGCTTATGATCCTGGCACATTCCAATGGGTTCAGTTCTTGAGTTTGATCTAGCAAATGTCAGTTTTTTTAGATATAATAAGAGCTGTTTAAGGTACAGATTTACCTGATAGCTTACTCCATTAAATTTGTAATGGCATTGGTACAGAATTCCTGCTGTTGCCTACTACATGTGGCCAGAGTTATGTATCACTAATACGTTTAGCAGTATGTGATATTCCTTGTCCCTAATAAAGACACAAGAGTCCAACTTGCTTCTGACCATTCTTACATCTGGTTTTGAAAATGTAAATTGTTCAGGAACAGGACAGTACCCTTACCAAATTCCATATGGCTTATGGAAGAATTAAGGGACTTCAGTATATCAAGGGAAAACATAGTTTTGCCTTGTTTCCCCAGCATAGCTTGATGCCTGTATACAATGAATTAACTCTCTCAAGAATTTGCAAGTCTTTTTGTAGATTGTTTAATCTTTGTGCTAGAATATGTAGGTTTTTGAGAAATTTATATTCTTTCATTGAAATAAAATGGTATGACCAGAGTAATCCTCCTACACATGAATTAAACATAGAATTATTCTGAGATGTCTGTTACCTTTTAAAAGAAAATGTACAGATTGATGTGCATAATAAGAATGTTAAAGTATTTCTTTATTTTCTCGTAATATTTAAATCATATTTTTCTCATGTGCCTTATTTTGCTAGAAACTATTAAGTTGCATACACTTTAATGATGGCTAATGTAGCAGTGTATTATGGCTAATATATGTGTTTTTAACCATGTCCAAACTTTTTTCCCTCCTAGGGGATCTGAAACTTGTGGAAAAGCCATCTCCTTTGACTCTTGCTCCTCATGATTTTGCAAATATTAAAGCTAATGTCAAAGTAGCATCAACAGAAAATGGAATAATTTTTGGTAATATAGGTAAGGTACTATTTTATGGCATGTGATGTTTAAATATTTTATTAAAGAATTTCTATATTGAGTAGCTGTGGAATCAGCTGAGAACAGGACCTGACTCTTATCTGTTTATCATTTATGGAGCACTCTATTGTACCAAGCTTTATACTATGTACTAGATGTAGAGAAATGAGCCAAATAGAGTCTGTCTCCTAAAGAAACCACAAAGCTTGCCTGGGTGGGGCAGCATGCTTGTAATTACAGCTAGTTGGGAGGCTGAGGCCAGCCTGGGCAACTTAGTGAGGCTGTGTCTCAAAATTAAATATAAAAGAGCTGAGGATGTACATCAGCACTCCCTGGGTTCAATCCTTAGTGCTGCCCAAACAAAAAACAAAATCACAAAATGAAAAACCACCAGGCAAAAGGAAGATACAGAGAAATATATAATTAGAATATAGTGCAATAAAGACAAATTGATAAACTATGTTCTTTGGGATCAAACAGTAAAATTATTGACCATGGAAAGCTTATAAAGGAAGAAGGTGTGTTATCAAAAGATGCCATTTGAACAGAATCTGAAATTTGATATAGGCATTTCTGGCCACAGTCATAGGGGTATATCAGACCTAACAGTTAGCTTTAGAGGCATTCAGTCAATAAGCATATTGTCTAGCTATTTCTATTGTAGAGATAGAGCTACTGTAGTGGGGAAAAAAATATCTTTGAATTCAAATGGCTGATCATCATGTAGGAAAAAGCAGGTGTATAAAATAAATAGTGCAGTAACTAGTCGTCAGTGCTATTCGAGAAGCCTGTACTAGGAAGCCTGGGAATCCATGAAGAAATTTGGTCCATTCTCAGAGTGGTGGGGGATTGAAAGGAAGGTTATGAAGGCTTTATGGAGGAGCTAGTTCTAGAATAGGGTTTTAAAAGATCAGGGTTCTGCAGATAAATAAGGATGTAGGTAGAACAAATAAGAGGTGTGATCAAATATATGTTAATTTTTTTTTTTTTTAGATTTTTTTTGGTACCGGGGATCGAACTTGGGATCTTCGGGATCTTGTGCTTATGCGACAGGCGCCAGAACCACTGAGCTAAATCCCCGGCCTGTTGTTTAAATTTTTAAAAACTTAGTGAAAGACATGGTGCCATTAATTGTCCTCAAAATTCTCCCCCTCACTTCAAACACATTTATCCCATCATTCCTGCCGCTTTTGGGAGCAATTCTGGAAGTCCTCTTTCATGTCTCTATGAAGTGTGATCAAAAATATGATGAATGAGGCCAGGGATGTAGTTCAGTAGTTCCGCTGCCTGCCTCAAAAGTACAAGGTCCCGAGTTCAATCTCTGCTACCAAAAAAAAAAATGATGAGTGCTGCTGCTGAGTTCTATCCAATTAGGAGCAAGCTTGTAAAACTATTATAGTATGTCCTCATCTACCTAATTTACCAGAGCTGGCATCATGTTACTTCTGGCTCTTCTCCACAGTCAAAATGACCATGAAAGGTAAACACTTTGAATCAATTCAGGACATGAAGCAGCCATGACAACACAACTAAAGACACAAAAAGAGAACTTCCAGAACTGCTTTAGAAAGTGGCAAGAATGATGAGACAAATGTATATGAAGCAAGGGAGAGTATTGTGAGGGCAATTAATGACAATGTGTCTTTACTGTAATAATTTTTTTAAAAATTAAACATTTACTGTATTTTTTGATCACACCTTATACAAGTAGTTTGATGCACCTGATGATTAGAGTGAGTTGGAAGGTAATGGTAGGAACAGGTGAACTTAAGTTGGTGAGAGTCATAGTTTATTGCCATATTAAAGATTTCAGACCATCCATATAAAGGGAAGACTAGGGAATTATAAATGAGTTACATGATTAAACAATTCTGCAGTAGCATTTTAGATATTTTGAGTTTTTAATTGAAATTTACCCTTATGATTGAGGATCTTTTGTATGTATGTGTTACAGTTTATGATGTCTCTGGAGCAGCAAGTGACAGAAATTGTGTGGTCCTCAGTGATATCCACATTGACATTATGGACTATATCCAGCCTGCAACCTGCACTGATGCTGAATTCCGTCAGATGTGGGCTGAATTTGAATGGGAAAACAAAGTTAGTTCTTCAGAGATTTCCTTGTACTTTATCTTTCTTCCTTTTGACTGGTTGAGGGATTTTGTGATGAAATTAATCCCCCTAAAAATGTAGTCAAAGACCAGGGGTGGTGGCACACACTTGTAATCCCAGCACTGGGGAGGGATGAGTTCGAGTCCAACCTGGGCTATATAATGAGTTCAAGACCAGCCTAAGCTACATAGTGAGAACCTATGTCAGAAAACAAAAGAAAGTGTTGGTTAAGAAAAGCAAATAGTCTTAACTAGAAATCATCCAAGTAGTTTGGTAATTTGCTGCTGTAAACGATTTATAGAGTAGCAGTTCTATAATTAATATGATTAAAACAGACAAATAGGGGCTGGGGATTTAGCTCAGTGGCTCCACCGCCTGCCTTGAAGGCACAAGGTCCCTGGTTCAATCCCTGGAACCAAAAAAAAACAGACAAATATTGCATCTTTTCTATGTATGAATGATAATTTGCCATTGAAGCACGTCTCTGAAAGAGGCTTTGCAAAGTCTGTGCCCTACTGAGAAACTTTATTTCGTTGAGCTTGGATTTTTAAAAAATTATTTTGTATTAGTGTATGTATATAATAATTACATTTGTTTTGGTGAGTTGGTACGTGTGTATGTCATATCTTGATAATTTTTGATCCCCTTTCCCCTCACCCTGTCCTCTCAGCTTTCTCAGAGTCCCCTCTCCATCTCCAAAATGTCTGCCTCCCTGTTTCCTATTATCTCTTCTTTTTTATTTTGTTCTGTATATTTTGAGTTTTCATATAAGAGAACCCATGCACTATTTAACCTTGTTCGTCTGATTTATTTCACTTAACATTTTGGTTGCAGGATCCATCCATTTTCCTACAAATGATTTAAATTCATCCTTTATGGCTGCATAATACTCTATTGTGTATGTAGACCATATTTTCTTTATTTATCTCTTGAAGGGCTTCTACTCTGTTTCCATAATTTAGCTGTTGTGAATTATGCTGCTACAAACATGAGTACACATGTATCATAGTAATATGACAACTTCAGTTCTTTTGGGAAGATACCCAGAAATATAGCTGGGTCAAATGGAGTTTTATTTTTAGTTTTTTGAGGAATCTCCATACCGAGTTTCAGAGTGGGCATATTAATTTACATTCTCACCAGCAATATTTGGGTTCCTTTTTTCCCACATCCTCACCATCATTTGTCGTTTTTTGAATCCTTGATGACAGCCATTCTTACAGGAGTAAGATGACATTTCTGTATTGATTTGATTTGCATTTCACTAATGGCCAACAATGCTAAACATTCTTTTCATGTACTTGCCATTTGTACTTCTTTTGAGAAGTCTCTATTTCAGTTTCCCATTTTTTGATTGGGTCTTCTGTTTTGGAGAGGTCTAATTTTTGTTTTGAGTTAATATATTCTGAATATTAGTCCGCTTATCAAGAGTAGCTGGAAAAAATTTTTTTTCATTCTTTTTATTCTGTTGGTTGTTTCCTTTGCTGTGCAGGAGCTTTTTAATGTAATCCCATTTGTTGATTCTTGGTATTATTTCTTATGCAATTGGGATTCAGTTCAGGAAGTTCTTGCTTATGTCTTCAAGCATTTTACCTATTTTCTAGAAGATTCAGTGTTTCTGTTTTTATATTTAGGTCTTTGATCCATTTTGATTTGATTTTAGTACAGGGCAAAAGATGGGTCTAGATTCATTGTTCTGCACATAGATAACCAGTTTCCCCAGCATCATTTGTTAGAGGCTGTTTTTTTTCCAACATTTGTTCTTAATCCTGTTGTTAAAGATCAGATGGCCAAAGATGCATGGGGCTGTTTCTATGTCTTCTGTTCTATCCATTGGTCTACATGTCTAGTTTTGTGCAGTACCATATTGTTTTTATTATTGTAGCTTTATAGTATAACTTGAAATTTGGGATTATAATGCCTGTTACTTTGTTAAACCTTGATTTTTATTTGAACTGCTCTCTATGCCTCTGTTGATCTTTCTGTGATGTTATCTATATCTGCAAATTCTGATACCAACTTATAGGTTGTTTGATTTTACAGGTGTTATTTGCTTATTTGTTGCCCACTCTTTAAATATTTGAGATTTTGATATGAAGTATCGATGATTTGCAACTTTTTCATTGCAGGATTTATTGTCTCCTTTACTTTTTTCTCTTTCTCTACAGGTGACAGTTAACACCAATATGGTTGATTTAAATGACTATTTACAGCACATATTAAAGTCAACCAACATGAAGTGCCTCACTCCAGAGAAGGTAAAGTTGGACTTGGGAAATTCTTTTTTTTTTTTTTCCTGGTACAGGGAATTGAACTTAGCACCTTGTGTTTGCCAGGCAGGCACAGGGCCACTGAGCTGTATCCCCGGCCCTGGCTGGGAAATTCTTAAATCTGAGAGTAGTACAGTAGAATCTTGGCTGTATTTCCTCTAGTGTATTTTTCTTACAATGTAGCAGGAAAAACAGTCTCATTCTGCAGTTTGTGTTTTCGGTTTTGGAGAGAGTCTCACTGTGTAGTTCAGGCTGGCCTTGAACTCACAGTGATCTTCCTGCCTCAGTCTCATGAGTGCTGGGATTATGGGCATGTGCCACCACACCCAGCCTTCTGGAGTATTTAATGGAAATTATCCTGAAGTGTTTAAATCTGATTACTTTTTCCTGTTGGAATATATCATCCTACTTATACCTTGTAACCCAACTGAATAGTCTTTTTTTAGTCTTCTTCCCCTTTCAGATAGAGGCTCATTGTAAGTAATTTATTTGCAGACACTGGGATAGAAAATGTCTGTGACTTCTGTGGGTTCTGATTGTAGGCTAGTGCTTATCTGCTCAAATTTGGAACTGTTACCCTATACTTTGTGCTATGTCTATGAGTACGTGAAAAAGGCCTGAGGTCTGGTGCAGGAGGCAAAGGAGCAAGCAGAGGATCAATAAATTCAAATAGAATAAGTAATATTTCTTCGAAGATGAGTTCATTGAAGTATGAAATATACACAGTAAAATTCACACTTTCTACATGTGTTGTTCTATGAGTTCTGGCAAATCCATTTGATCCCATAACCACAACCACATCAGTAGTATTGTAAGTCATCATTCACCTTTGCTGTATGGTTTTGCCAATGTGTAGTAAATACTGAGTTTGTCTCAAATATCTCCCAGGCCCTTTCTGGTTACTGTGGCTTCATGGCAGCCAACCTTTATGCTCGTTCTATATTTGGAGAAGATGCACTTGCAAATGTCAGCATTGAAAAGCCAATTCACCAAGGGCCAGATGCTGCTGTTACTGGCCATATAAGAATTCGTGCAAAGAGTCAGGTAATGATTGCTTTTTTTTAGATCATTTCTGAACTAAACAAAGGGAGGAAGAATTTACAAGACTTTCTTCTCTGGTCCCCACCCCCCACCCCTGTCCTGGGGATCGAACTCAGGACCTTGTGCTTGTGGGGCAGGTGTGGCAACACTGAGCTAAATCCCCAGCCCTACAAGTCTTCCGTCTATCTGTAATGTCTTTTGTTATACTCATGTTTTTATGCCTTAATTCATATATATAAGGACAGTATTTTCTGAATAGAAATTATAACTTTTGCTTCATTAAAGTAGCCTGCTTTTTGAGCCTGTTATTCTGGGATATTTGCTTAAAACTAGATTGATTCCTATAAGGTGATGGTGAAATGGATTTTGTACTTTTTTTGGAAGCTAAAGTATCCAATGACTGCTGTTAAATCTAGAACTGAAATGTACTCAACCCAGTAAAGTTTTGGTGAGTCTGTTTTGTACATCCTAGATTTTATTGCTAATACATTGAATGGAGGCTTAGTTTAGCAAGAATAACCTATTGCTTGTACATAATTTCAGTAATTATAAACATCTTCATTCTTTTTTACAGGGAATGGCCTTAAGTCTTGGAGATAAAATCAACTTGTCTCAGAAGAAAACTAGTATATAAGAATAAACAAAATGTCCTTGAAGCTTTGCAGTTAAAACTTAGGTATGGGCTTATTGAGCTCCAACATCTTTTGTACTCTTTAATGCTTTTTGTTTATATAGAATCTGAGTTCATGCTAAATGCATTCCAGCCAATAATTTATAATCTTTCCCTTAAATCAAGATTGAGTTTAAAATTATAGTTTATCTTTTGTCTTAACAGTTCTGAATGGTGTCCTCAAAATATATAATGTTTCTCATATGTACCAAGACCATTTTCACAATAACAATAAACTGACCTAATCACAAATTTTTGTTATTTTATAAATAAAAATACTTATGTAATTTTAGTTTTGTAGTAGTGGGTTTTTTTAGTTATAGATTTCCATTATAAATTTAAACTACTTGAATTGTTGATATGTATAGCTTTATTAAGAGAATTTACGAACTCAGTGATATAAAATGAAACAAGCCTTGATTTACTTAATTTTTATATTCTGACATCAGTATTTCTGAAACTGTCTTATCATGTTCTGAAGGTCTTTTCTCAAACTTAGCTCCAAGAAGAATCTGTCACAATAACTTGAGAAAAGAAGATTCTCTTTACTTTAAAGAAGTTATTATGAACCCTGACTGAAATAGACATACTGTTTTTAATTATCTTACATCATACTGAAAAATAGATAATCCAAAATAGATTTTTTAAATCATTGACATTTAGCATTTTGTGTTCTGTGTTTGTTAGGAATTAAATTGGTTCTAGCTTATTGCTGAAGCTGTACTGGGAGGATTAATTTTAGAAGATTCACAAAGCTATAACCCTGGGCGTGGTGATGCATGCTTATAATCCCAGCACTCAGGAAGTTGAGGCAGGAGGATCGCCTTGAGTTCAAGGCCAGCCTGGACCACATAATGACTTCAAGGTTACAAGGCCAGCCTGAACTACAGAGCAACACTTGTCGCGAAAAGAAAAAAAAGAAAAGAAAAAGAAAAACCATTCTATTTCCATATACCTCTATTCCTCACTGTTTGCCTTTTTGTCGCTTTATACTAGGACTGAACCTAGTCACATCTGTTACAATTCCATATGTTTTTGAGCCGAGTTTCCCGGCCTATTTGTGCTATTCTTTTGCCTCTTGACTTTGATGGGGATGATTGAGATAGTCGGATCTCTTAGCTAAATGTCAACTTCAACTATTTGTTTTCCCTCTAGGACTTAGTCTGCATTTCTTAAGAGTGCATGGATAAGGTCTGTGAAGAAAGAAAGCAGTCTCTTCTATTTAGTGAGAACAGAATGTTTTGTTTGATGTCATGAACTTTGAACCCACTTGCTTTTTAAATCAGTAAACCAGAGAATTATAGGGTATTTTTAATTCCAGAACACTGAGGTCTTAAAACTAGTGACTACAAAATGTGAACTATGTAAGGAACACAACAAGGGATCATTTTGATGCCTTGAGTCAAGAGGTAGAGGTTTGTGATGAGATCAGAGGAACTGGTGCAACTTGTTTGGAATGGATCGTTTTCTATACTCTGTTCCATTGAACATTAGTTTTTTGGGGGGGTTTTCTGGTACCAGGGATCGAACTCGGGTCCTTGCACTTGCGAGGCAAGCAGCGGAACCACTGAGCTAAATCCCGGGCCCAATTGAACATTAGTTTTTATTAGATAGTCTGGGAGAAAAACGATTCCATAGTAAGTAAACTTGGGACAAGCTATATACTGTTCTGTTCTGAGGATTCACAGTGCACATTAGCATACTAAAGATTCTGAGAGGGCCTTCAGTAAAGATGAGCTTGGAGCCAGGTAAGGTGACACATACCTATAATCCCAATACCCTATAATCCTAGATCCTCAGCTGAGGCAGGAGGATCTCAAGTTCAAGCCTAGCCTAGGCAATTTAGCAGGACCGTGTATCAAAAAAAAAAAGAATCTGTGAATATAGTTCAATGTGATTACCCCGGTTCAATACCCAGTACCAAGAAAAAGGGGGAGGGTTAGTTGGTTTAACTCAGAATACAAGAATAATCATATTCTAATCTTGATCTGGGAATCTTTCCTTCTTAGGACACCAGTTGAGTTAACATGAGATAATTGTATTCATAATCAACCAGTTTAAAATCTCAAGGAATTGTGCCTCTGAATGTTCTAGAATATGTCTGTTACTAATCTCAAAGTTTCCTGCCTGCCCAACATTTTCAAGTCATTTTTCTTGGGATCAGACAATTTTGTTTACCTCATACTGCCATTTTAAAAAATTTATAAAGAAGAATGAAGAGAAAGAAGTTAATACAGTTTTCAGAACTTAATCACAGTTGAAGCTGTTCATTAGCTTTTCATTAGCTTTGTGCATCTAATGATTGTGAATTGAAATGGATATCAGCTCTGTTTAGAGACGTTGCTTATATTGCACCCTCTCAGCTTGGATGTATAATATATGTTCATAGATAGTGGGTGCTCATGCTGAAAGATATCATATAATTAGGACCATGATATCTTTTTTTTTTTGGTACCGGGGATCAAACTTGGGACCTTGTGCTTTCGAGCCAAGTGGCAGAACTACTGGGCTAAATCCCTGGCCCCAGACCATGGTATCTTTTGAGAGAATAAACATACTATCTACTACCAAGTGAAGTCTTAATATATAATGTAGTGAATGAATAAACTTCAAATCTTTGTTTTTAATATCTGTAAATCTTATGTCAAAATTAAATGGCCCTATTTTTCACTGTTGTGACAGTAGAGGGAGCTCTATGTGGTTATTTTATTTGGAGATTAGATACGGTTGGTGTTTAAAGCTGTTTTATAAGGAAAAAAAGCAAGTTGACTTTTTGTTAGCAAAGAAATTCATAAATAAGAACTAAGAGAAGTTAATACAGTCATTGGGTATATTAAGCTGTTTACTTATCTTGACAAACAGTAGGTACTCATTAATAAGTGTTCATTCCATTTATTTCCCCATTCACTTTCCATACATTGCAAAAAAGACTGAAAACCTATTCCCACTATCTTTATCCCTTCCTCAGAATTTTATACCCTATTTGAATGGTTTGGTTTTTAACACCAGTAACTTATTTTTAAAAAGCTGTTTCTTAATCCTTAATTTTGTAACTGTTTGTTGTCTTATTTTAAGAAGCTCTATTAGCGCTTTGCCTATCACCTTGCTATCTTAGGTGAATGTGGCTGTCACAATCCATATTCCTCATGTGGTAGATTGTCTACATAAACACACTGTATTTTATTTTCTGAATGACAGACAAAGGCTGATTCTTCAAAAACAGAGCACAGGGATTTAGCTCAGTGGTTTCGCCGCCTGCTGGGCAAGTGCAAGGACCTGAATTCGATCCCCAGTACCAAAAAAAAAACAAAAACAGAGCACCAGGGCTGGGGATTTAGCTCAGTGCTTCCAGCGCCTGCCTCGAAAGCACAAGGTCCTGAGTTTGATTCCCAGTACCAAAACAACAACAAAAAACCCCCAAAAAACAAAAATGGAGCACCAGAGATGAATGCACCTGGATCACAGTGTGTGATATTTAGATTTGCTTACTGTGATTAGAAGTGACTTCTAATAATTTGATCCTCTTTATTGTTTGCATCTAGCAATGAGAGGATCTTTTTGATCAAGATGTCAGTTATACAGTGACAAAAGAATGCAAATGAGATTTGTGCCCTTTACCTGGGTTTCTCTGTTATAGGATTCTGACAAAACTTTTCATTGTATGTATTCTGGAATAATTGTAAAACCAAGATACACAGAATACAGCATAGTGGACTGAAATAGTCCTGAGCAAGCCTTCCTAAATCTTTACTCCTATTTTCTGTGTCTGTCTGGGCTTGCCTTGTCTGTTAAATGAAACAATTTAGATAGTGGACCTCTGGGCTTTCTAGCTAAAAAAAAAAAAAAATACAGAAAAGCCTTTTGGATTTTTGTATGTTTGGTTCTGGGGATTGAACTCAGGACCTTGCTCTTGCGAGGCAGACACAGTGCCACTCAGCTAAATCCCCAGCCCAAAGCCATATTTGGGGGGGGGGGGTTGATACCGAGGATCGAACTTGGGTCCTTGCACTTGCAAGCCAGGCAGTGGCACCACTGAGCTAAATCCCCAGCCCCTAGCCATATGGTGTTTTTTTGTTTGTTTTGTTTTATTGGTACTGGGGATGAACTCAGGACCTGTGCTTTCGAGGCAGGCGGTGGAACCACTGAGCAAAATCCCCGTCCCCGTTAGCCATACGTTTTTATAACTACATTTTCAACAGTTTTTCTAATCAGTTGAGATATCTCTACCTAGATGTTACCAGAATCAATATTATAAAATGGTGCTGAGGGTAGAGTGCTTGCCTATCATGTCCAAAGGCATAAGTTTGATTCCCCAGCACTGCCTGCCCCCAAGAAACTTTATGGAATGGAACTTATCTTGCTCCCTGCACTTTTTCCTCTACTATGTTCTTGTCACTAATGCTGAAAACCTATTAGTCACCCTTTACTCTCACTACTGTATCTCATCAGATACCAAGCTCTGTGTTCTCCCTTCTTCATTTTTTAATCTTTCTCTCCCTCACACCTGGTGCCATTTCCCTGGCTTAGATCTTTGTCATCTTTAACCTGGTCTACTGCAGTAGCCTAACCAGAAATTCCACACAATTTTAAAATTAAAGTCTGTGTTTTGAAACAGTAGCCATGTAATTCCTTCACCTTCTCTAACTGTTCTCTCCTAATACTATTTTGAGAGATACATTAAACAAAAAAAGTCCAAAAAAAATTATTTTTTATGGTGCTGGGAATTGAATCCAGGAACTTGTGTGTGCTAGGGAAGCACTCTAACCTGAGCTACATCTCCCTCCCTTCCTTCTTAAGTTGCCCAAACTGGCCTCAAACTTGCAATTCTGCCTCAGTAGGAGGGAGTAGCTAAGATGGTAGGTATGCACCACCTCACCCAGCTAATTATGTGTGTGTGTGTGTTGTTGCGTGTGTGTGTGTGATGTTGCTGTTATTGCTGTTATTGCTGCTGTTGCTGTTGCAGTACCAAGGATTGAACTCAAGACCTTGCACTTGCCAGGCAGGCATGGTGCCACTAAGCTACATCCCCGGCCCAATAATATTTTTAATAAAAATTTAAAAGGTTAAAGAATCACCAAAATGGGTATTGAAGCGAATGGTGGTGTCCATAGTGTAAAGTACCTAATAGATAGTTAATGTTCAATAAATATTCATTGCGTGCCCAAATGAATGAAGCATGTAGCTATAAGGATAACAAAGGGGCTACTTGTGTAGCTCAGTGATAGGGCACATGCTTAAGTCCCTGGGTTCGATCCCCAGTTACCTGAATAAGACTGTAGACCACAGTGCACCATGTGCCTGTGAAATAACATTAGGTGAGAAAGAAGACCATTCTGTAGTAATTATGTCTCCTGGATTAAGATGAAGGAGGATATGATGTGGACATATTGCCAGTTTTACCAACTGAATAGAAAAATGAAATGTTAGTCATATCAGTAGTACAGCTTGAAAATAAACACTATCTACCCCTTCCCAGTTACTGGGTGTGGCTAAGATATTTCATTGCTGCAGTTCCTGATTCCAGCTCTTGTGATTTTTAGATCTGTGATCTTGATCTCTTGGGCTTCAAAGTAGCTGAAACCTCAGCCTGCTGTGAGCCCACCCAGGGAGCTGGCATCCCCTTGTGAGGAAGCACTGCATTCTCTGAAGAGGGTGGGGACTGACTGCCACACAGGACCTCACCAGCCAGGCGAGGGGGGAAATGGCTCACCCAACTCAAGGAGTCTAGGAAAATTACTGAACTGTTCTGCGCTGTGCAAGCCATTTCTTGAGGCCCAACAACATAAAAAAGTGAACCTAATGATTCATAATAAACATTTTCTACAAAGCTGTTTGAGGTCATCCTTTTTTTTAGTGATGCCTTGCTTTGAGTGAAAGTATGCCTTTCTGTTAGGCCAAGGGCATGGTTTTCAAACTGTCTCTGCCAGTATTCCACAAGCTAGACCAATGTCTTCCCACAGTTAAAAATCAGATAATGAGAGTCTCTTTTTCCAAGTCCAAGAAGACATAAGTTGGTAAAATTTTGTTGATTTTGTGTTTCTTCTCTATAAATGTTTTCAGTATTTTCATGCCAGCTATAAAACTTTAAAAGTACTAAAGAAGCATTATGGCAATATTGGCTCACTAGATGTCAGTGGTCTAACAGCTTGTCTTTGTGGCCACGTTGCTCCTGGTGGTTTTATATTGCATACATGTGTTTTCTGCTAGTAAATTGCTCCTTATTCATATCGCATTAAATATCAATAATTCCAAGGTGGCAGCAAAGAACAGACAACTTCCAGGTGTTCCACCCTGGCCTAGGTGTCCATGTGAAGAAATACAACTTATAAAACCCATCATGTCCCCATAGGCGCTATTCAGTGAAATAAGTCTTGGTAAAGGAAGTATAGATCCAAGTTGAAGTAGCTCCTGGCTTATACCTTCAGTGCAAAGAACTGGAAAAGCCCTCAATAGTGTACCCTCTTCTGGGCATTCAGCCTGTAAGATTTTTATCTTAGGGCTGGGGATTTAGATCAGTGGTTTCGCCGCCTGCTGCGCAAGCAGAAGGACCCGAGTTCAATCCCTGGTACCAAAAAAAAAAAAAAAAAAAAGATTTTCATCTTATTCCGCAACTAAAGGTGCAAGCTGGAGACTTACCAGCCTCCTTGAATTCTGACTGATTAAATCTGCTGTACGTCTAGTGCCATGCTACGTCTTCAAGTTACTCAGTAAGGTATAATCTGGGGGATATTTAGAGCCACAAACGCAGCTAATCACCATTTAATGATTTAAGTCTTAGAGCAGAAAAATATACCAACTACAGTGAGAGTTCAGAAAATTTGGTGGCTGTAAGATGGAAGTCAGGCATGGTTTCATAAAGTGACATTTGAACCAAGCCTTGAGAAGCATAGATTTGCCTGCTAATGTCAGATAAGGAATAGAGAAAGTGGGCAAGGAAGCCATTCCAGCCACAGCGCTGTTCCAATGAAGTCACAGGTATGGGGCATGTAGGGTTTGTTGGGAGGTAATGGTCTCATGGGTCTCAGTGGTCTCATGGGAGGCAGTGGAGATGGTAGCCAAGGGTCAGATCAGAAGGGACGGGCTGAGGCATTTGAACTTCATCGTGTAAGGAATGAAGAACTACTAAGGGTGTTAAGCAGATAAGTGACACAGATTTGCATTTAGAAAAAAATTGGAGAATTGATTGGAAGTGTGAGATACCAGTCAAGAGCCTGTTGTAGAAAACACATCAGCAGAGATTGGACAACATGACAGGAAGTGGGACGTGGTGGGACCGGGAGTGGAAGATAGGCTACTGCTACTCTGATACAGTAAATGGATAGGATTACCAAATCTGCTTTTTCTCATATAAACTGAAAGCATATTTACTCTTCCTATCTTAAAGAATTAATTGGAAATGATAATGAAATGTAATGTATAAAGGTGTGTCAATGGGCAGTGAAGTAGTCATTAATAATAATAATGTCAGTGATTGTCAGTTACAGAACAAATACCATGAGGTTAAATGAATTGAAATTGCCTCTTTTATGAGTAAAAATATCAAATATCAGCAATTTCCTATGGCTTACTTCGTTTTCATAGTACTTCCGGTTTCTTTAAGGCCATATCAATTACCTTTTTTTTTTTTTTTTAAAGATAAGCAATACATTTCATCAAGGGAATTTCCAGGAAGCATGGTAGGGAT